AAATATTATTGTAATTATAAAATTGATTGCACCTGTAATTGATGCAAAATTTTATGGTAATAGTACATTATGGTAAATTTTGATAAAAAAGAGCAAACAATGGAACCTAATATTGATCGTAATCTTGTATCAATAAAATCTGATTTAAACAGGTGAATATGTTGAAGCGATATAATTAAACTTTATTTAATCACTCCTATTTGTCTCATCGATGTCTTAACGATATTATGCGTTGCAAGCAGATGCAACAATTTGAATTAAAATTTAAATTTGATCAATGAATGTTGAATATGTTAGCATTGAACACTTATTCAACTTTATTGTCGCTTAATATTTTTTATACAGATTACATGTAAATGCATAACAGAGTGTCGTTGTCGCTTTATTATTGTGTTAGCTGTGTAACGGAGAGCATTACGTTGAATCTGCTTTGCGTAGAAATCAGTTAGGTTCGTTATGCATCTACAATGCGGAGGAGTCACTTGGATGTTATTTTTTGCGTGAAATTTCTTGACAATGATTTTGGTCTTTTTTGAGAATGTTGCTTGAGTCTTTGAGATTAGATTAGAAATTTTTTAATGGTGCGAGAGACTGTTGCATTGCCTCTCAGTATTTTTGACGAAATTCAGTCCAATTTCAGTAGTTTTGTAATAATAATTAATAGGAATTTTTTGATATTATAATACGTAGAAAAAGATTATTGTACAAGTTTCTAAATTTTCTCAATATTGTCTCTGTTCTTCATTTTTAATGTTTAGGAAGTTACTTCAAATGTCATTTACTTCAACCAAGTTCGATTGCAGAGAAAGATTGAGATCTTTCATACAGAATAATGAATCCCAGAAATGTTATTTATCATTTCACTGGAAATTCACTTTTCTATACATTTCAATTTTCGAAATTGAAAATTTCTCTGTATTATCAATCTGATTACGAGTGATAGTTGAAATTAGGTCTCTAGGTTTGAAATTAGCGATACTACGTGTGCTAAAAAACACAGCAAAATAGAGGTGTAATATTATAGCACTGGCATGATATTACCGTATTATGATTGCATAAATGCTA